GTCCGCTGGCCGTGTCATGTAGGACAACCAGCGTTCTTGTCAACGATTTTCAGCTAAAATTGACCGAAAGGACTGAATTGGCAAATCGTCAAAAGATTTAGAAATAAATTGACAAATCTTCAAAAGGTTTTAGACTAAATTGACACAATTGAAAGGTTTGGGACTAAATTGGCAAATTGCCAAAAGGTTTATGACTAAATTGGTACAATTGAAAGGTTTATGACTGAATTGGCCGCTGTACAATAGGTTTAGGACTTTTTGGACAATTATCCCATAGAAAAATGAATTGCCCTACACGGGCTAGAAATTATTAGGTGAACGATTTATCAAGTCGAGATTACCACTTTCCGCAGGTAAGGGATGGGGTTGATTCCTTGCTCTCTCATTGTCCAATGCCCAATTTCGTTGGTGGTGTTGTACAAGAGCATGAAACTATCTCTTATTATTGGAGGAAGTTTATCGATGTCTGTGATGTCCCACCTAGATAAGTTATCACAATTTCAGCAATCTTATGAATTTTACAGTCACTGAATACGCTTTTTAGCAATAATAATGAAAGTTAGTGCCTACCGTTACGTTATTAGCCCAAACCAATCAATTACATAGAAGAAAAAAAAGCTAACATAAACCATGATAGGTCCAAAACACATTGAAGAATTTATTTTATAATATATAGTATTTACTATTTTTTCCATAGCGTTCATAGACTAATTAATTCCGTCTTTTTTCTTGGCAATAATAGTTACAAGGGAAAATGATGATGGTTCTAATACTACGCAGACCTGACAATGAAATCTGTTAAGAGCTCAAGCTCTTCCGGCATCCCATATACGTCATAAACATCATCGATAAGTGTCACCATACAAGCGATCTTCGCATTCATTTCTCTGAAAGCTGTATATTGAGGTTCGAAAACCATTAGAATGCTCCAGAAATAGCATTCCACTAGCCTGTCCCTAAAGAAGGTCGTGTTGGTCGCCCCAAGTTCATCCCACCACCTGAAAAATTTGTCATGTGATGACTAAGTCAATCAAAATGCGCTCCTACCTTGCCAGATTGCATCTGTGAACTATAGAGTGCTTGTGTATACCTTGCCACATTGCTAAGTTCCTTCCTGTAGATTGACTGCACTAAATTGAAGTCTAATTTAAGCTCCGTTCGTTTGGCGGAAAATATTCTCCTTTTGGAAAATATTTTATCGGAAGTCATTTTCCTGGAAAATGTTTTCCCGGAACATAATTTTCCGGTGTTCGGCGACCAATATGAAAAAGTTTCGGAAGATATTTTTCGCCGGCGGTGGCCAGCGACCGGCGGCGGCGGCGGCGACCGGAACCAACCGGCGGCGGCGGCGGCGACCGGCGCGCAGGGCCGGCGACCTTAGTGAAGAAGAAGAAGAAGAAGCTCCGGAAAATGATTTCTGCTTTTGAAGAAGCGGAAGTCATTTTCCATAAACTTAGGTTATTTTGTGAGGGGGGGAAGGAAAATATTTTCCCACGGAAAACGTTTTTCACCCCCCGAACACCGGAAAACCGGGAAAATATTTTCCGGGAGAATATTTTCCGCCAAACAAACGGAGCCTTAGTCAATCGTAGCAAAGATGGCATCATGTCTTGTTGTTTCTCGTACATGTCAATGAACCACCGAGCCTCCACCCTATTTGGCCTCCAGTGGATCGGCATATCCAATGCATGACTCACGTTACTCGCTGAATTGGTGGGAACTTTGTCGAGGTTTAGATCCTTCAGATGCTTAGAAGCAAAGTTCCAAGCTTCATCAAGTATGGTTTCGCCTTCCAATCCATGGACAGAAGCTTCATAAAGACCAAGAACCCCCTTCACATCCCTTTTGAGCGATTCGTTGAATGTGCCTGTCTCGTTCATAAACCTTTGAAGCACATCTATATGTCCAAAAAAAGGAATGGTAAGGTAAATTTTGGTGCATCAACATGATTTAAAGAGGTTAACTAGTTGGTGACTACCTTGCTGTACGTTGTATCCATGTTGTCTGAGTAGCCGGAATCGAAGGGAAGCGGGATAGAGATCATCTGAAAGCTGAGCGTCTTCGATGTTGTTATGGATGGAACCAAGAGCGTTCTTGATCTCTGTCTCGAAATGATATCCTTTGAACCCCGTCAACGAGCTCGAGTTTTGCCACCTGATTCATCTCCCGGTCGAATAGACCCTTGACTTCTTCCTTCAACCTTCGGACTTGCTCCGTATATATATCCTCCTAGGCACATGAAAAGCTCAGCAAAATGAGATCTTAATCAAAGTCAATACACAAGCAGACTTCAATATTGCCTCCCGTATGGAAACAGTTCGATTCTCACTTTATTTGCAAAAACATTTGAGTAGGCACGGTTGAGCTCGTGTCTATATATTGAGAATATGCTATTTCGACCAGGTTTATTAATAGGTTTATTAATGTCTCCAATAGAATGTTGATGGGGTTGGTCGTGTATTTGATAGAGTGGCAGTGGATGAATGTGTAAATTGATGTTTCATATCTCGAACGTCGTATATAAATTATATACAGAAGTACATAAGAAGTAAACATCCATATATCTAATTCAAAGGACGAATTTTCTTTTGGTTGTGTCTTTTTTGTATTGGTGGACTCATCCCATTAAAGTACATAAAAATAGGGAAAAAGTGTACATTTGGTTGCTTTACTCAGGTTATTTTTGTAGTCAACGTGGTCATTGAACTTAAAATTTGCACAATCAAGCTCTTGAACTTAGAGAATTTCTGTTCGACCAAAAAAAATAAACTTCGAGAATTTCTATCCTTCTGTGCTGAAAAAAAGAAGAAAATCATTACCGTGTAATCAACACCGAGTGATTGCACAAAATCATAGTCCCAAACGCTCGGTTTCCAATTCGCCGAACGTCTCGCAATCTCTTGATCTTCAATCTTCAAACCGCATGTCGCGAATCGAGGGCCGGAGGACACAGCGGAGGAGGAAGAGGAGGAGGGTTGGCTATGGTGAATTGAGGAGGGAAGGAAGCTTGCGACCAAAGAAGGAAGAGCCATTGCGAAATCTGTTGCCAGACTCTGAGTGTGCTAACCATCCATTATATAGGTGTGCTGCGGTGCATCCATAATGAAAAAAGTTTGTAGCTGCTTTGGGAGCAAATTTTTCTACTTACTCGGGCCATCCTCTAAGCATTGCACTTTATTGTTTCTACATGCACAGAGTCATACTGACCCTGTTAGTACGACCCCCTCATGGCCGAGAAAATATTGGGTGCCACTAGGGATTCCACCGTGGAGAAATAACAACTCTGACGTGGCAACACGTGTCCGAGAGGACCCACATGTCAGGAAGGCTCTCCCACGGCGCTGAGCTGAGCTGAGCTGAAGCTGGGAGAAATTTTTTTTAAAAACAGCCCTCTCTCTCCACACTCACTCTCTCTCTTTCGCGCTCCCCATCTGCTCTCCGCTCTGCGCTCCGTCTCCCTCACCCGCTTAGGCACCCCATCCACGAACGACGCTTCACTCCCATCCCATCCTACGCTTCTTGCTGGCCACTCGCCGCGCTTCCTTCGCCGCTCGTCGCTCGCCGCCTTGGCCGCTTGCCGCGCTTCACCGCCGCTCGCCGCGCCTCGCCGCCCGTCGCTCGCCGTGCCTCGCCGCCCGTCGCTCGCCGCCCCGGCCACTCGCCGCCCTTCACCGCTCGTCGCTCGCTACTCGTCGCGCTTCGCTTCGTCCCCCTTATCCTCATCTTCACCACAGGGAGGAAGAACTTACTTCAAGCGCTAGGGTTTAGGCATGTTCACGAAGGTAATGTATTCGTTCGGATTTTCATGATTTTTCTTGGGGGTTTTTGTGTTTGTGTCTGCTCGTTGCCCTGCCACCATAAGTTTTATGATAGTTTCTGAAAATAGCTGAGAGGGTTGATTGTGGTAGAACAGAGGGTGGTTCATGGCTGCATCTTGAGTACTGCATCTTGTGGGTTTTTCGTTGACGTGGTATGAGCTATACACATGTTACGCGACTTAAGCCAGATTCAGGGGAAGCTCAATTGATTGACCCATCTGCCTGTGACTTCATGTGTGATTAGATGCTATGCTTATTTGGTGCATCTTCTTGTCTGCATACTATGTTTCATCCTATCCAGTGCTGGGTTATCAGTCTAATGTCTTTTCTAAGACTAGATGAATTCGGTCACTGCACGGAGAAGATTTTAGGATTGACCTTTTCACAATATGTTCTGTCTAGAAGAAAATAAACTGGTGAAATCTACCTTATGCTGTATTACTATTATCAGGAGTATGCTCGTTTGACGTATGAGGAACTTAAAATTCTCACGTTAGCATCTCGTCTGATATAATCACCTGTCATTTATGTGACCATACTGCTTAATGTTATAAAAAAGATCTACTAGTAAAGGAAAATGTTCAATGCTTTAGTTGGACAATACTGCTGCAAAACTTTGCTGATTTTAGAGGAGTTGGTTCTTCAATAGTTGAGGAATTGTACATTTTAATGATAGCACCTGATGTGAGATAATTGTCATACAAATATGCAAGCAAACACTGCCAAATTTCGGTTGTCAAAGAGAGTTGCAACGAAAATCAAGTTTTGCTATTTTAGACTCTTTTGTTCAAGGGTATTGCTGTTAGACTGTGCTGGCTTTGGCTCTTTCGTGTATTACAATTTCCAAATAAATTCGCATCCATTTTTTCAGGACCACTGGAAAGAGCCACACATGTATAGGATTGTTTGATTTTTAATTATTCCAAGAATGACATGCTTCCATAATTAAGGTATTGTGTAAGAAAGGAAGTTGTCAAGAAAGTAAGTGCTTAGCAAATTTTGTATTGTCATTAAGTTCATCAAGTCCTCACGACATGGAAATAGAATACACATCCTGTTCGTTTGGTTACTGGATGATCTAATGCTTGTCGAAAATATGCGTAAGAAGCGAAAGTGCGTAAGAAGCATTATCCTTCTTCCAATGGGATAAACAATTGTGGATCAAAAAGAGTAAATTAGAAGACAGAGCACGCAGCGAGTATGCAGGGGGGTCTCCTTCATAATTGAATGATTCTCTTGAAGTCTCTATACTCACTTTATAAATGACCTAGCAAATTAAGGTTTTGCGCTGTAGTTAATGAAAATTTTGTATTTATTTGGCATGGCGCTTGAACTAATAATTACAAGGAGATTGAAAATCTGACTTATTTAATTATGTTTGTTGGGATACAGGGCGGACAGTTGGCTGCTATAAATCTTGTATCTCGTGCGGCCTTGCTTGCTGCAAAGAAGGTGATGACGTTTGAATTTGCAGACACACTTGGAAAGTTATCATAGTGCAACAACGCATGGTCATTTACTCCATAGATATTTTATCAAATGCGAACTCATGATTATGTTTTTGCGTGATTGGTTTTGGCAAATACTAGCAAGGCACGTAGCAATAGAAATTTTACTTTCGGCTGGTAAAAGAGAATTTATGTATAGGTTGTTAACTGTGCTTGTAGTACTGCATCGACTATTTGGAAAGAGTTGGTTTCTTCCACTGACCATAAATCATCGAAGGTTATGCGTGTAAACAATAGCTCACCAAGGAGGTATTACTCGATGTAATTCACATCGTGTTCTGAGAGTGAGCTTGCTTTTGTTACTATCTGGGTCTTTGTTAAAAGTAAAATAAGGAAGGAAGTTTTCTTTTTTCGGGGTCTAGTACAGAAGATGAGCTACATTATGTTTAGTGGTGTGAGTGTGTTGAGGTTGTTCTATTCTGTGTTTGCCTCAGGACTCTGAAGAAGAATGGTTTTTCCGGGTTCTGCTCTTGTTGGGTTCCTTTGCCTGACGTAGAGTTGAAGTGTATTGCTTGGTGGGTGTTTGTTTACCCACGATTTGAGGTTGAGCTTGGATTTACAAATTACAAAATAGGTGGATTTGAGGTTGAGCTCCGATTTGCCTAGGCGTTGACTCCCACTTAGCCGACACTAACGCCGCCTCCGACGAGCAAGGTCCTCCGCTGCCCACGAGCAACGTCCGTCACCTCCCACGAGCGAGGTATATTTTAGATCGTGATGTCTTTTTTCCTCATGTATATTTTCATTCACGACATTTAGTTGACATGAGTGTGCTTGTCAAAGGGCTTCTCAGTAGTACAGGTTGGGATGAGCTTGTTTATGTTTGGCAACATGGGACTGATCCTAGAGCTCCTTCAATTAGTATAAAAATTTCATTTTTTGGGGTCCCCTCATTGAGCTGTGTCAACTTGGGATCAGGATTCTGAATGGCCAAATTTGAAAGTGTAATTGTCGTTCTGCGGTTTATCTTGGTAAATGACTCGCAAATAATTAGACTGTAAGTTAGATTCAATAAAGCAGGGAAAATTTCTATTTGCATTATCAGAATGGTGAGTTTGCACTTGTTATGTTCACCTTGTATGGTATAGCATTAGTGATGGTTCTCCTGTGTTTGTTTATTGCTGTGATTGTTTAAACTGAGCTTTCTAGTCTTATTATAAGGATCTAGTTGCTGTTTCTGTTGCTGTAGTGAAATTTGTGTCTCGATTATGAATTTTCCGTGTTGCTCGGTTTGATCAGGGAAAGACCATGTAGTTGCCTCTTCTTTGTCATGCAAGGATGAGGTTGACTTTCAATATTATAGTTCCTTTGTTTGGTTAGTGCAGCATTCTTTGATACTTCTCACTTTATGGTCACTCTTTCCAACCTGTAAATCACCTGTTCCGAGCGTGGGAGTTCCAACTTCTTTGACAAAATAGTTCTGGTGCTTGTCTCAAAACATTGTTTCTTTGTTAATTGTGTTTTCTGAGCATTTGAAATGATTTGAAAGTGTCATTTTAATGCCTCTCTCTGAGGTGCATATTATCCCATCAAATAAAAGAAGTATTTTTGTTAGTGTGTGAAAGATCGTGAGTTAGTATAGAGTAGATGTCTCGACATTCCTGTCAATAAGTCGGCATGGACTGAGCCGCCGATAACTAGTACTTATTTATACTTTCTTGGTGCCGAATGGATCAATATTTGCCCCTTAGCTTGCTGCTCGCCTTGTGTTTGAAAAAATGCCTAAGCCAAATCTGTTGAGTGTTTGAGGTTTTGACGTTGCTAGATCGAATGGACCGAATGAATAGGGTAGTGCTAGCGTAACTCGATACATCACAATGAATGACGTGCTGTACTTTATCTGGTGGCTTCCGAATGAATGGTGTGTTGCGGCTAGAATTTGTTATTGTGGGGGGGGGGGGGGGTCAGATGTTCATTAAAATTCCCCAGAGAAAATTGAGTTGAATGTCTCACCGGATAATCATCTTTTGTGAATGTGTACTAGAGATGACGACAGTATATTAGAGATGATGTGGAGAGGACCTTGAACGAGTGGACTAATTCTGTACCTGCACTGGTGTTGCATAGGGTCCTGCTTCATTCATGGTTGAACATAATTTGTGAGAGTGCTTTTCCTGCTTTATAATGGTGTGTGATGACGTACTGCTAGTTTGGTGCATCAACTAGACTCTATATCTAATTGTGAATCGCATTGAAACAAATTTTTTTTCCATTTGAGCAGTTCATGGTAGTTTTGTCCGGAGAATTCTGTGGTCTCCTAATGAAAATGCGCCCTCACTTGAGTGCGTATGCTTGAAAAATTCCTTGTTTTACTTGGTTATCCATCAAAACACTTGGGTAAGAATAGTCCTCCTTACTTTTTTGGAATATGACTTCCACTTTTTAAATTAGGAAGTTGTTTTCCTTAGTTTTGAACTTGGCAGTATCGCATGAATTGTCACTCGCTGTTCAGTGTTTGAGCTCCTTAGAATGAATGGTAGTGCATCACATTTCAGCCCCTTGCATTAAATCGATGTCACCCTTCATGCTCATTTTATCATGATGGCAATTTTTTCGGATACTGTCATCTCTAACTTTACATATACGGCAGTGGCTTGCTCATGTACATAAATTTTCCATGGATGACAACCTCCATTTGAAAAAAAAAAAAAAGCCCAGCTGTGTTGCATATATGTATCGTGCGTGCGTAGTTTCTACATTATAGTTTTGGATGTCTTTTCTGATAATGAACTCCACATTCTAGTTTTCTGAGCATACACATGAGTATGGACATCCGTAACAATTGATATACATCTATTTCTCGTCAAGTAGGGTCATTACTGAACTTAAACCTGCTGGAATTATCTTTCAAGCTTGCTGGTTGGGGCTGTTTTAGTGTCATTTTAATCCCAATTTGGTATCAATTTGGGTGCAAATTTATCGGATGGCTGAATCAGAGGTAATTATTTGCTCATACTATGTGAAATATATTTTTCTTAAACCACCGCGTTGATAACTTTTTGTTCTTTTAGTTGCAGCATGAAACTTCCCATCTTGCACACGTAATGCGTGATATGGAAAAAGATTATGAGTTTGCGGTAGGAATGGTTTTTCCAAATGAACTTGAAGCATACGATAAGTATGTGGCCTATGCAATCGGCAAAGGATTTGGGGTGAGAAAGGGTAATATGTTCAAAAATGGTAAAGGAGAATTAACCCGACGAACTTTTGTGTGCCATTGTGAGGGGCATTCTGTCAGCTCATCTGATCAAGAAAAGAAATTTGAGAGGTATGAAGTTAGATATGGCTGTCCTGCTCGTATCAAATTTAAGGTTAACAATGGTGTCTATGAAGTCATGAAGCATATTTCTGAGCATAATCATGCATTTATTCCGGATGATCAAAAGCATTTGATTAGATGTGGAAGAATCATGTCTGATACTTCTAAGAGTGTCTTAGTTGACATGAGGAAAGCCGGCATTGGAGGGACTACAGCGTATAAGTTTTTAGCAAATGAAGCTGGAGGAAGCAAAAACTTGGGTTTTAACCTGCGTGATTGTCAAAATTATTTGCAAACGAAAAGATCCGATGGTATAAGTGGGGGAGATGGTCAAAGTGTTCTAAATCATTTTCATCTCATGCAAATGCAAAATCCAATGTTTTCATATGATGTATAGGTAGATCAAGATGGTAGATTGACAAATTTATTTTGGAGAGATAGCATGTTGAAATTTGATTATGATTGCTTGGTGATGTTCTAGTGTTTGATACCATGTATCGTACCAACAAATATAACATGATATGTGCACCATTTATTGGGATTAATCACCATTGGAAGAATGTTTTTGTTCGGTTGTGCATTTTTGTTGGACGAGACTGCAGAATCATTTATATGGTTATTTGAGGCTTTTTTGAAGTCTATGGGAAATAAGGCACCGAAAACCATATTCACTGATCAAGACCAAGCCATGGCAAAAGCCATTAGAACGGTATTTCTGAATACACAACACCGTTTATGTACTTGGCACATCGGGAAAAATGCCAACCAAAACATCCCACATCTTTACCATAAGCCGGGTTTTAAGGATACATATTTCTTAGCGCTTATGTATAGATGTACATCGGAGGAAGAATTTGAATTTACTTGGAGGGAAATGGAAAAGGAGTGGGATACTGCGAATAACACTTGGCTTCGGAGATTATACGACATTAGACACAAATGGAGTTTAGCTTTTGGTCGTGACATTTTTACATGTATAAGATCCAGTCAATGGAGGGAGAGCACCAATAATGTCTTCCAACGAATGTCGACGAAGACATTGACTCTTGTAGAGTTTGTCCACCACTATGAAGAACAAGTGAAGCACATGAGAAATTGAAACTCAAGATGATTTTAGTAGTCGAGGGAATCCCAAATTGGCAATTTTGGGTAATGACATCTTGACGCATGCTTCATGTCACACCCCGAACCCCACGATGCGCAACATCCCTCGCAAAGGTCGAATTTGCTGCGACGTCCCAGGCCGCGTCGCCGACCCAACTCCCAACACAGAGCATAAGGCACATGCGGAAGCGATAATTAAAACACCCGTACAAAGCAATACATGACCAAGGGTAGCAGGAACGTCGAACAATTCAAAGCCTAATAATCAAGACTTGCATTGAACTTCAAAACATATACAATGTCCACTATACACCAATACAAGTCGCCAAACAAAAGCGGGTCGACGGCTACTACTAACAAAATCCCTAAGTGGCTAAGGGGGCAGTCTAAGGTGGGGCTATAATCAAAAGGGGTTACTGGCCCGACCTAAGGGAGGCTAAGGCTGATCCTAGGAAACTTAATCGGGATCAGATCCTGATAACTCGGACTCAGCCTCGATTATTTCATCCTCTGAATCCATCTGCTCGACCTCGCCAACCTGTTCGGGTTCCTGCTTTATGGGCTCCGGATTCTCATATGGATCGGGTACACCAGGCAACCTCTATCAGGAGTCTGAAAAACGGGGTTTAAACAACTATGAGACGAATCTCAGTGAGTAGGCCTCCTAAATCGAAATTAGGTTAACATGCACCTCCCGACAAGCAAATCAACACAACAACGGACAATAATGTCAATCAAATGACCTAGGCTCTTGAGTCCGGTTCGCTTACCTTGCTGACCCTGCAGGTTAAACAGTTCGACATAAAAATCACGGCACATACGTGGCACACATTTTCACACGTACGCCATACGCATGCTCATACTCGAAGTGTTCATCTCGCATGCCATTCACCGAGTCTTGCACACTCGCACACTGGCCCATGCATTCTTATGCATGCAAATGTCATCATCATGTCATGTTTCGTTCTGGCTCACACTGCACACTGGCATACAGCTCATTTTTAATTAGAAATCGACCCGAAGGTCACGGCCCGAAGGCTCACAACACTCCACGGCCAGCGTAAAAACGCCCCAGGCCCAGTGTCTCTAGCCTGCTACAAAGTGCATGAGGCGCAATACCGATCTCCTTACGAACCAGAGCCTGCTACAAAGTGCATGAGGTTGGTCGTCTTTCGGACATACCGGGCATCGTCCTGCTACAAAGTGCATGAGGACGGCACGACCCGAAGGCCAATAAGTGATAACATGGCACACTGCCAATTTTTATCTGAACCCCGCGTAAAACGCATCAGGGTATAATTAGGTGATCACATGCTCATGGCAGACACGCATTCTCGCACAATTTCGTCACATGCCTCACACTAGGCATACACAATGCGTGGCCATGTAATGTCGTATAATGCAACATGAGCATTCAATTTCAGCACGGCATTTCAACAAACATGCCAAATCAACGTGCTCAAATAGCCAATCAATTGCCCATACTTATTCGCATAACATGCGCACTTGGCCAACTAGTACCATGTGGCCCAAAACATAATTTACGCACTTGGGCAATAAACATTCACACCAATGATTGGCCAAACACACACCGCATTGCTCGAACACGAAATCAGGCGGCATGGCATTAAACAATTGAGCACGACAAAGTACCATTCAACCACCGAGTCGCTCAAACGAGGCACCACAAAATTTAACACAATCAAGCACAATTTGTACCCAAATCAACCACAAATCAGTCCGAGAGAGAGAAAAACTGGAAATATGCAAAATCGGGTCCAAACTGGGCAGTTGCACAGTGACAGAAATCCATTTGAAATAAATGGTAAATCAATTCTAAAAATTATGAAATTTGGATATATTGTACAAAACATCTCGATGAACATTTTCCATGGAGAACTAGAAACCCAGTTCTAACCGTAAACACCTCGTTTTGACACTCCAAGTCGGACAAAATCCGATTCGCTCGGACAGCCCGTCAGGCCAGAAAAATACAACTCATTCAGTACCCAAATCATTTGGGAAAGCCTTGAAATTTTTATATGTTATAACCACAAATGTCCCCAACAATTTTTGAGAAGGAAGTATTTTGAAAATAGGCCTGGAAAAATTTATAAAAAATTCGAACAGACCAGAAGGTCGGGTGAACAATAAATCGGGCAGTTTTGTTTCGGTCCAAAGATGGACTTCCGAATGGCCTCAAATGATTTCCAAAAATTCCAAAATTAAATTATGTTATACTTAAAGATGTTGGGAACAACTTTCATGAAAAACACTTCTTCACATTCGGCCCACAATGATCACAATAAAAATAACAAAGCGCAGAGGTACAGTAAAATTAGTAATCCGAGAATCAGTAACTTGCACCATTAAGCAAATCCAACTCATACAACCTCTAAATCAAGTCTCCACAGCCTTAAAACCATCCTTAAACCATCACCTTATGCCCTTAAAATCACCACAACATCAGCCCAAATCAGCCCCCACCAATTACCCCTAAAACTTGTCCAAAGTGCACATAATCCTAATTAAGGGTTAGGATTTCCACTCACCTATTTACACTCCCCAAAATTCTAATCGACGGGAACGGGCGACCGATTGCCGGTAAACGGCGAAATCGGCGGCGGCGTTCCGGCGGCTCACGGTAGAGGTTCTGGTCAGTGAGGGTGGTGGCGGCGAACGGCGCTCCTCTCGCGCGCAACGGCACTCCGACGAGCGGCTCCTCTGGCGGGGGCCTCTCACGGCCAAACCAAGAGGAAAATGAAAGAGAAGAAGTGGCGTGGGAGGGGAGATGATCGGCTGATGGGGGAAGAAATGGGAGGAGAGAGAGAGAGTCAAAGGGGTCTTATGGGTCAAAAAGTGGCGCCACGTGTCGCAATCCGGTGCGTTGGACCATTTTGCCATTTGATCCAATGGCCATTAATCACTCTCATCCAATAATTGAGGGCCCTTTTGGTCATTCAAAAATTCTGAATTTTTGACTCATAATTATCCACAATAAATTCCCAAAAATTGCCAAAATTCGGAACCCAAAAATGGGCCATAAGGGCAAAACGGTAATTTTCCGGTCCCGGGTCGAAATTTCATTTTTCGACCGTATTGACCCCAAATGTGTGTGGCCAACATAATATGATGTCGGATTCGCAAAAATAACCTTTTAAGCCCTCGAAAATCGATTGCAAAGTTTGGAGGGGCAAAATAGTAATTTTTTCACTTCTGGGCCGAAATTTCAATTTTCGACCGTAACTACTCTAGATATGCGTGGCCACCCTAAAACGGCATCGGTCTCAAAAAATAATCTCATATGGCCTCGAAAATCGACGTCGGAGTCCAAGGGTAAAATCGTAATTTTTCTAATTTCGGCCGAAATTCCAATTTTCAGCTGGACTAGCCCCAAATGTATGTGGCCACACCAAAACGACGTTGGCCTTGCAAAATAGTCGTAAACACCCATAGAATTTCGACATCGAAGTTCGGGTCCAATTTGGCGATCAAAATTGCTCAATTCAGAATTTTAGAGTCTCTTACTGACGGGTGGCTATTTAGGGGTTACGCGTATCGACCTAGGGTCACTCGAGTTGTGACGATCTCGATTACCGGGATAGCGCAAGGAATTATTGATTATTCCAGGGGTCACGATCGTTCGGTTCAGGTTCGGGATTTATTTGCCATGCGCACTCTCGGTCCAGCGGAATCACCCGTGATCCGATCGTACGTCGTTGGCCAAACCAGATCCGTCACCTTCCTAGAATCGGTCCACACTGGCCCAAAATACTTCCCTGTTGTTTCTCGGAATCGGCGCCCGATTCGCGATCGGGTCCCCGATCCACGTACTGTTTTCCTAGTTAGCCTTTCCCATTGGTCAGTATCCCGCGAGGGGCCAGCTCCGGGCGAGACGTACTAAAATCAAATGAGAAATAATATCCACTTCGTCGGATCCCGGAAATAGGTCGAAATTCAGGATGTTACACTTCAAAAGTGTATACCCGTACCATTTTTAAACAGTTTAATGATGAATTCATGCAAAGTGTCTCTCAACGTATTTCAAGTGAAGCATTTGATGGATCGGTTTATATTTTTACTGTCAAGTTAAATGGGAAGTTAAATGGGAGTGGAAATGTTGTCAAATTTGACCCTGCAGACTCTTCAGTTTCTTGTGATTGCAAATTATTTGAATTAAAAGGGTGGTTGTGTTGCCATGCGTTGAAAGTGTTGAGTGAGAAATAATTGGTTATGGGTGTTCCATCTCCCTATATTTTGAAAAGATGGACTAAGGGTGCCAAACAAGTGATTGTGAATGATGAATCTTATGAAATGGCCGGGTTCATCTAAATTTAATCGATTTTCCACGTTAATGCATCAATCCTTTGAAATGATGAGTTTGGGAGCCGAAGATGCTGATACTATGAGAATAGTGAAGGAGGACATGGAAAAAACGAAGGCTAAACTTTTATCACATAAATCGAGTATGGTTGTGACTGATGATGCTGGTAATGATGATGATAATGAGGCTTCTGTGTGCAAGATTTCGGCATTGGACCTGCATCGAAGGAAAGCAAAGGGAATAAGTTATGAGAGGCTTAAAAGCTCAAGTGAGAAAAAGAAGAAAAAATCTAAGGAACGAGCACCTCCAACACGAATAGAAAGTCGAGGTGAGTGGCATATTATTCTACTTAATATGATTAGTTAAATTTATTGCTTATGTCACATGATGCCAATAACATATTTATTACTTTGTAATGTAGAGTTGGTTGTTCAAGCAACACAAGATGGAGCTCATTTCCCAGATTATTTGCATAATTCAAATCAGTTTCAAAGTGCCTTTTATCCTAGCAATATTGGTGGTCCTAGAGTAAATCTAAATTTTCATAATCAGGTATATTGCTCGTAGTCTTTCAGTTGTATTTACATTTTACTAATTTGGTCAAATTTTTTTTGTGGATGTAGCAGCCACCATACATCATGCCGCCGGAGATTATGAGTGGATTTTGCCCATTCCCCAGTCAGGTATTTAATAGCTGAACTTATCGGATACATGAATGAGAATAATCTTGCAAAACAAATTAGTAGTGACAAATTTATTATATGTAGATGCAATCACAATACACCATGCCGCCAGGGATTATGAATGGAATTTCCCCATTCACTAGTCAGGTGCTTATTATGAAATCATTTTAGATCCTAGTGTTATTTCACCTTATTATTACCATTGTAATATTTATTGTTAATGGTTTCTTCTGCATAGATGTTGGAGTATCATAATAGATCTCATGGAACCATTTTGAGTCAGGTACAACTTGCTTTTTTTTATTCAACACTTATTTGAGACATTTATCTTGGCATTTGTTTAGTAAAATGTAAATAAATTGGTTATTCCTTTGTGCAGGGGTCATCAAACTCTTTTCAGCATCCTAGGGTGAATGAGTCGAACGACTCTGAAGGAACATAAATCAATTGGCTAAAGTAACTCATAATTTTGTCTCTCTCTAGGAGGAGGAGGAGGAGGAGGAACTCTCCCTCTCTTTTATGTACAGGCTTGAATTTATAGCTTGTTGTGGATGAGCTCGACTTCGATTCCCGCCACTTCTCGTCAAGAAGAGGTAAAAGAGCTTGACCTTGAAATTTGAAGCAGTTACCTTCGGGTTGGTAATAGGGGTCATCTAAATTATTAATGTTACGGGAGTTGTTATTGTGATATTTTCCTTTTTGTGAACGAACATCACTTCGTTGTAGACATTTGGATGATTTGTCCTTGCTGTTAACTCTGAATGTTTGAAACATTTCCATGGCTGATTGAAGAGAGACTTCTCTTTGGACATGTAATGTCCATCTCCATTATCATTGGACAATATGCAGCTGTGGATCTACTTTTGTTAATTTATATGTAATTGCAGGACACTATTCTGTAGCTGGAGTTCCAAGGTGTGAGAAAGCAACTAAAAGTACAAGTTTGTAAATCTTAAAGTCTTCAGAAATTTTGGTATTTGGACTTGACATGTATGTACACCAAGGCCAGTTGCATCAAGGCTTGCTGCAGATACCCATCTGCTTACTGGTCAGGTAACAGATTGAAAGTTTCATTCCAGATCGTGATGTCTTTTTTCCTTTCGCATATTTTCATTCATGACATTTTCAAATTCATGGGGGCAGAGCGAGTAAGACTTTTGCGCTGATGTTGAACTTTTGTTCAGCTTGCTTATGTCGAGGGAGGAGGGGATGAATGAAAGTTGCTTCCTTTATCAGCGGAATAGAGCTAAACTATTTTTTTTTCTGATTTGTTTGTAAATTTTGAAATACTCAACTTTCTGAAGTTGATTGCAAATATCCGTTGTTTCCATCTGCTAGAGTTCAAGTGCAGTCATCTGCTTACAATGTTATTTAACTCTGTCGAATTGAAAAGTGGTGGCCATGAGACCAAATGATTGGATGATGTTGCAAAGAGTTAAGATGAGTAACATTAAGATCTCATTATTGCAGCACTCACTGTCAAATGCAATTCAATCACAAGATCCATAATTGGTTGCTCTGGCTTAGGCTAAGATATTCTTGTATTATATCTCAGATAGAAAACCTCCTTTCTTGGATGGAAGAGTAGTTTTTATGAACAAGCGGAGCCTATAATGCCGCTCAAAGATCCGACGTCGATATGGCTATAATCTCAAGAAAAGGTTCTCGCTTCCGCTCAAGGAGATTCATGAAAAACAGAGTATGAATAAATCGCGCCACCGCTTTTGGGAGCTTGCTGGCTCAAAACTTGGAGATATTCTTGGTGTTGAGAAATCATAAGCCGATGTCATGTGTTTTGCAAGTTTGAATGACGGTGTCCTCTCTCTCTCTCTCTCTATTTTCAGATTTAGGGTTTAAATTAAGAATTTTGGGAAATTTTTCGCTACGAAGTCCGATTTTTGAGTTGTTGAGCTGCGCATTTTTATAAAATTAGTAGTTTAGGGTGTCGTGGAGCTGTGGGATTTTACGGATCTTGATTTGGACTTACCGTTTACCCGAAAACGAATTTTTAAAGTTTTCCGCGAAGTGAAAAGTGCACGTCCGGCAGCCTTCAGGCCATATTTCTCTGCGAAATCCGATTTGTGAGTCGTTGAGCTGCGCATTTTTGTAGAATTGGTAGTTTAGGGTGTTGTGGAGCCGTGGGATTTTACAGATCTTGATTTGGACTTACCGTTTCCCCGAAACAAATTTTTGAAATTTTCCGCGCGAAGTGAACAAGTGCACGTCCGGCAGCCTTCAGGCCATATTTCGCTGCGAAATCCGATTTTTGAGTCGTTGAGCTGCGCATTTTTATAGAATTGGTAGTTTAGGGTGTCGTGGAGCCGTGAGATTTTACCGATCTTGATTTGGACTTACCGTTTGCCCGAAACAAATTTTTGAAATTTTCCGCGCGGCGAATAGTGCACGTCCGGCAGCCTTCAGGCCATATTTTGCTGCGAAATCCTATTTCTGAGTCATTGAGCTGTGCATTTTTATAGAATTGGTAGTTTAGGGTGTCGTGGAACCGTGGGATTTTACGGATCTTGATTTGGACTTACCGTTTGCCCGAAACGAATTTTTGAAGTTTTCCGCGCGAAGTGAACAATACACCTCCGGCAGCCTTCAGGACATATTTCACCGCGAAGTTCGATTTTTGAGTCGCTGAGCTGTGTATTTTTTGTAGAATTGGTAGTTTAGGGTGTCGTGAAGCCTTGGGATTTTACGGATCTTGATTCGAACTTACTCTTTGCCCGAAACGAATTTTTGAAGTTTTTCGCGCGAAGCGAACAGTACACGTCCGGCAGCCTTCAGGCCATATTTCGCTGCGAAGTCCGATTTTTTAGTCATTGAGCTGCGCATTTTTATAGACTTGGTAGTTTAGGGTGTCATAGAGCCGTGGGATTTTACGGATCTTGATTTGGACTTACCGTTTGCCCGAAACAAATTTTTGAAGTTTTCCGCGCGAAGTGAACACTACACCTCCGGCAGCCTTCAGGACATATTTCACCGCGAAGTCCGATGTTTGAGTCGTTGAGCTGTGCATTTTTGTAGAATTGGTAGTTTAGGGTGTCGTGAAGCCTTGGGATTTTACGGATCTTGATTTGAACTTACCGTTTGCCCGAAACGAATTTTTGAAGTTTTCCGCGCAGCGAACAGTACACGTCCGGCAGCCTTCAGGCCATATTTCGCTGCGAAGTCCGATTTTTAGTCATTGAGCTACGCATTTTTATAGAATTGGTAGTTTAGGGTGTCGTGGAGCCGTGAGATTTTACCGATCTTGATTTGGACTTACCGTTTGCCCGAAACAAATTTTTGAAATTTTCCGCGAAGTGAAAGTGCACGTCCGGCAGCCTTCAGGCCATATTTCGCTGCGAAATCCGATTTTTGAGTCGTTGAGCTGTGCATTTTTATAGAATTGGTAGTTTAGGGTGTCGTGGAGCCGTGAGATTTTACCGATCTTGATTTGGACTTACCGTTTGCCCGAAACAAATTTTTGAAATTTTCCGCGGGCGAATAGTGCACGTCCGGCAGCCTTCAGGCCATATTTTGCTGCGAAATCCTATTTCTGAGTCATTGAGCTGTGCATTTTTATAGAATTGGTAGTTTAGGGTGTCGTGGAACCGTGGGATTTTACGGATCTTGATTTGGACTTACCGTTTGCCCGAAACGAATTTTTGAAGTTTTCCGCGCGAAGTGAACACTACACCTCCGGCAGCCTTCAGACATATTTCACCGCGAAGTTCGATTTTTGAGTCGCTGAGCTGTGTATTTTTTGTAGAATTGGTAGTTTAGGGTGTCGTGAAGCCTTGGGATTTTACGGATCTTGATTCGAACTTACTCTTTGCCCGAAACGAATTTTTGAAGTTTTTCGGCGGCGAACAAGACACGTCCGGCAGCCTTCAGGCCATATTTCGCTGCGAAGTCCGATTTTTTAGTCATTGAGCTGCGCATTTTTATAGACTTGGTAGTTTAGGGTGTCATAGAGCCGTGGGATTTTACGGATCTTGATTTGGACTTACCGTTTGCTCGAAACAAATTTTTGAAGTTTTCCGCGCGAAGTGAACACTACACCTCCGGCAGCCTTCAGGACATATTTCACCGCGAAGTCCGATGTTTGAGTCGTTGAGCTGTGCATTTTTGTAGAATTGGTAGTTTAGGGTGTCGTGAAGCCTTGGGATTTTACGGATCTTGATTTGAACTTACCGTTTGCCCGAAACGAATTTTTGAAGTTTTCCGCGCAAAGCGAACAGTACACGTCCGGCAGCCTTCAGCCATATTTCGCTGCGAAGTCCGATTTTTTAGTCATTGAGCTACGCATTTTTATAGAATTGGTAGTTTAGGGTGTCGTGGAGCCGTGAGATTTTACCGATCTTGATTTGGACTTACCGTTTGCCCGAAACAAATTTTTGAAATTTTCCGCGCGAAGTGAACAGTGCACGTCCGGCAGCCTTCAGGCCATATTTCGCTGCGAAATCCGATTTTTGAGTCGTTGAGCTGTGCATTTTTATAGAATTGGTAGTTTAGGGTGTCGTGGAGCCGTGAGATTTTACCGATCTTGATTTGGACTTACCGTTTGCCCGAAACAAATTTTTGAAATTTTCCGCGCGAAGCGAATAGTGCACGTCCGGCAGCCTTCAGGCCATATTTTGCTGCGAAATCCTATTTCTGAGTCATTGAGCTGTGCATTTTTATAGAATTGGTAGTTTAGGGTGTCGTGGAACCGTGGGATTTTACGGATCTTGATTTGGACTTACCGTTTGCCCGAAACGAATTTTTGAAGTTTTCCGCGCGAAGTGAACACTACACCTCCGGCAGCCTTCAGGACATATTTCACCGCGAAGTTCGATTTTTGAGTCGCTGAGCTGTGTATTTTTTGTAGAATTGGTAGTTTAGGGTGTCGTGAAGCCTTGGGATTTTACGGATCTTGATTCGAACTTACTCTTTGCCCGAAACGAATTTTTGAAGTTTTTCGCGCGAAGCGAACAGTACACGTCCGGCAGCCTTCAGGCCATATTTCGCTGCGAAGTCCGATTTTTTAGTCATTGAGCTGCGCATTTTTATAGACTTGGTAGTTTAGGGTGTCATAGAGCCGTGGGATTTTACGGATCTTGATTTGGACTTACCGTTTGCCCGAAACAAATTTTTGAAGTTTTCCGCGCGAAGTGAACACTACACCTCCGGCAGCCTTCAGGACATATTTCACCGCGAAGTCCGATGTTTGAGTCGTTGAGCTGTGCATTTTTGTAGAATTGGTAGTTTAGGGTGTCGTGAAGCCTTGGGATTTTACGGATCTTGATTTGAACTTACCGTTTGCCCGAAACGAATTTTTGAAGTTTTCCGCGCAAAGCGAACAGTACACGTCCGGCAGCCTTCAGGCCATATTTCGCTGCGAAGTCCGATTTTTTAGTCATTGAGCTACGCATTTTTATAGAATTGGTAGTTTAGGGTGTCGTGGAGCCATGGGATTTTACTGATCTTGATTTGGACTTACCGTTTGCCCGAAACGAATTTTTGAAGTTTTCCGCGCGAAGTGAACACTACACCTCCAGCAGCCTTCAGGACATATTTCACCGCGAAGTCCGATTTTTGAGTCGTTGAGCTGTGCATTTTTGTAGAATTGGTAGTTTAGGGTGTCGTGAAGCCTTGGGATTTTACGGATCTTGATTTGAACTTACCGTTTGCCCGAAACGAATTTTTGAAGTTTTCCGCTCGAAGCGAACAATACACGTCCGGTAGCCTTGAGGCCATATTTAGCTGCGAAGTCCGATTTTTTAGTCATTGAGCTGCGCATTTTTATAGAATTGGTAGTTTAGGGTGTCGTGGAGCCATGGGATTTTACTGATCTTGATTTGGACTTACCGTTTGCCCGAAACGAATTTTTGAAGTTTTCCGCGCGAAGTGAACACTACACCTCCAGCAGCCTTCAGGACATATTTCACCGCGAAGTCCGATTTTTGAGTCGTTGAGCTGTGCATTTTTGTAGAATTGGTAGTTTAGGGTGTCGTGAAGCCTTGGGATTTTACGGATCTTGATTTGAACTTACCGTTTGCCCGAAACGAATTTTTGAAGTTTTCCGCGCAAAGCGAACAGTACACGTCCGGCAGCCTTCAAGCCATATTTCGCTGCGAAGTCCGATTTTTTAGTCATTGAGCTACGCATTTTTATAGAATTGGTAGTTTAGGGTGTCGTGGAGCCATGGGATTTTACTGATCTTGATTTGGACTTACCGTTTGCCCGAAACGAATTTTTGAAGTTTTCCGCGCGAAGTGAACACTACACCTCCAGCAGCCTTCAGGACATATTTCACCGCGAAGTCCGATTTTTGAGTCGTTGAGCTGTGCATTTTTGTAGAATTGGTAGTTTAGGGTGTCGTGAAGCCTTGGGATTTTACGGATCTTGATTTGAATTTACCGTTTGCCCGAAACGAATTTTTGAAGTTTTCCGCTCGAAGCGAACAATACACGTCCGGTAGCCTTGAGGCCATATTTCGCTGCGAAGTCCGATTTTTTAGTCATTGAGCTGCGCATTTTTATAGAATTGGTAGTTTAGGGTGTCGTGGAGCCATGGGATTTTACTGATCTTGATTTGGACTTACCGTTTGCCCGAAACGAATTTTTGAAGTTTTCCGCGCGAAGTGAACACTACACCTCCAGCAGCCTTCAGGACATATTTCACCGCGAAGTCCGATTTTTGAGTCGTTGAGCTGTGCATTTTTGTAGAATTGGTAGTTTAGGGTGTCGTGAAGCCTTGGGATTTTACGGATCTTGATTTGAACTTAGCGTTTGCCCGAAACGAATTTTTGAAGTTTTCCGCGCGAAGCGAACAGTACACGTCCGGCAGCCTTCAGGCCATATTTCGCTGCGAAGTCTGATTTTTCAGTCATTGAGCTGCGCATTTTTATAGAATTGGTAGTTTAGGGTGTCGTGGAGCCATGGGATTTTACGGATCTTGATTTGGACTTACCATTTGCCCGAAACGAATTTTTGAAGTTTTACTCGCGAAGCGAACAGTACACGTCCGGCAGCCTTCAGGCCATATTTCGCCGCGAAGTCCGATTTTTGAGTCGTTGAGCTGCGTATTTTTATAGAATTGGTAGTTTAGGGTATCGTGGAGCCATGGGATTTTATGGATCTTGATTTGGACTTACCGTTTGCCCGAACGAATTTTTGAAGTTTTACGCGCGCAGCGAACAGTACACGTCCGGCAGCCTTAAGGCCATATTTGGCCGCGAAGTCCGATTTTTGAGTCGTTGAGCTGGGAATTTTTATAGAATTGGTAGTTTAGGGTGTCGTGGAGCCGTGGAATTTTACGGATCTTGATTTGGACTTAACGTTTGCCCGAAACGAATTTTTGAAGTTTTACGCGCAAAGTGAACAGTACATGTCCAGCTGCCTTCAGGCCATATTTGGCCGCGAAGTCCGATTTTTGAGTCGTTGAGCTGCGCATTTTTGTAGAATTGATAGTTTAGGGTATCGTGGAGCCGTGGGATTTTACGGATCTTGATTTGGACTTAACGTTTGCTCGAAACGAATTTTTGAAATTTTCCACATGAGATTTTACAGTAATCAGTAAGCTTAGAGTTACAGTAATCAGTAAGCTTAGAGAGAGAGAGAGAGAGAAAGAGAAAGAGAGAGAGAGTAAATGGCTATAAAGATGCAAAAAAAAAATTCTGTAGACTTAATGCCAAAAGGTCTGCTTGTTTCAAATAATTTCACAAACTTAATTCTGAGCCTTCCTATAGCTTCTGTTTTCCCTAACATTGCTAAGATAAAAATGATGTGCCAAAATCGGCATCAACTCAATAGAACGACATGGAGTCGGAGAAACGCTGTACTAGAGAAAATGTGAGTGAAAAAGAAGAAAAAAAATCTAAGCTAAGACAATGCTTCATCCGGTCGACTTCACGTAACTCGCATCAGAGTCTCAATTTGGTCCTCCACATGTCTCCAATGACCATCTTAGGTTGCGGATTATCTGGCCCTCGATCCCGCTACCCCGATGTAAAGTACAACCAGCCGTCACAAAAGCTTGCGATTGCGGTTTTGACGCGGTAAGGAAGCTTACCGATCACCATCCATTTCATACCACAAGCATATAGACGTCGCTATAGACTACCTGAAATAAGAAAGTTCCAAGTTTGAAGAATCAGCTCGAATGAAACATCATATGACACAAGCATGCATCTTTTGATAAGCTAATAAAATCAATGACCAGATGATGAGTAGCATGATCAGCAAAGAATGTATCTAAACATGTGAATGCCCCATTCTACTTGGTTCTGTAAGTAACATGCGAATGCCCCATTCTACTCGAACTAATTATCTCATATCTCAGCTCATATATATCAAAAGATTAACGCAAAATGCTAGAGCTGTCTCAGGAAACCACTGGTCCCAACAAATTGCTGACAAAGATAACAAAGTTGATCAACCTATCATATCTTAACCTTCGGCTTTGACTTATGGAATCAGCCTAAAAATGTTAAAGCTTTGCGGAGTCTACATTGGGACTTCTAGTTGCCATTACCTGCAATAGATCAGCTGCATAGTGGCGACTTCATTGACTTAGAGACCTCCTGCTCGTGATAAAAAAGTGAAGATGCTAATATTCAGTACCCGACTACTAAAAGTAGCATTTTAGCTTACAATATTGCCGGCTTACAATGTAATATGATGTACTCATCTAATCGAACAGTAACCAAATGAAACCACTGCAAGATGCTAACTCACCCAACATCCACAGAAGAGGCAGTAGTTATACTCATCTCTTAGCTTCATCAATACAGCCAGCAGATCCTGTATACAGCAGAAAGCAGTCATTCATTACTGTAGTGCCACTTTTTCCACGAGTCATACTAAAAATGATTCAGCAATGAACTTCGTGAACTGATGCTTATGCAACATTTTATATTCAAGGACTTTTTTTTTATCGTGATATTCAAGGACTTGAGAGAAATAACAAGAGGCAGATATCTGACAAATTTTTCACTACGGAATTTCAGTCACACAGATGAACTTCCGAAAGTTTGGAAGAGTTTTAAGATGAACTGCAAAGAAAGGCAAAAGCAGTTGCTTAATCAACTGAACCTCCATCTTCAATCTGATGAACATAATGGGTGACAAACGTTTTCACGAGTTATGAAAAAAGAAGCATTCAGTTGCACAGCATAATGAATGTAGAAAATCCTCTTACTGATCTCAGTCGTGCACTACACATCACTAATTCACTGTCATTTCACCTACTTTCACTGCCATAGAACCAAGGATGCAACAAAAGCATATGATAGTCTGAAACTAAAATCTGACTCCATTAAAACAATATGTTTCACCATTTCTAGGAAACAAAATGAACAAGCCAAAGCCATTTAAATGTAATGAATGAAACTGAGATTTAAAGAGAATCTGGATTCTGGTATATGACATCAAAGAACATATCTCTTCCGTAATTACTTCCTCTTCCTCTTCATCCTGTTCACCCTCCTCCTCGCCCTCATTCTTCTCGGGCTCTGGAAATTCCTTATTCTCTAATTGATCCAGTGCAGCCTTTGCCTTCTGGAAATATACAAATATCCTCCGACCAAACAATCCTAGAATGATGAAATACGTCATTGACCATGGAAATCTTCTCTTACCAACGACAAAACAAAATCACCTCATAGCATCCAAGCCGCCTATGCACATAAGGCGCACAAGCCCATCTGACTAAGGTACGGAACCAAACAAGAACGAGCCTTTGTAGCTAAGAAAGAACAGAGCAGCTCGAAACAAAAAACCTAACCACGATCCCAATCCTCCTAACTCCACGTTCGCAAGACTGCGGCATCAAAACGAAACTAATCTGCTCTATCAGATCGCTAAGGCCTTGGTCTTTTCCAAGACAATTAAAAGCTAGGACCTATAATCCAAAATCGAAGACAGACACACCGTAAAACCTCAAAAGAGCTCGAAACACCATCGAACCGAAAGCAACTGCGCGGCTGCGTAATCAGAAAGATATCGAAAGCCAAGCAAGCTTACCTCCTCCGATTCCCTAGTGAACCACGACCTCCATTCCCGAGGTCCGATGCAGCAGCGGAAGAGGACCTAGATCAGCACCACCACCATGGAAGAAACGGATACATCAATTCACCATCCGAAGCTCGGAGCACGAATTCCAGAGGCGAAACGACCTGCAAATCATTCGCTCCGCGCGAGCTGCTTCATCATGCGTTCAAGAAGGAACTTCAGCGAGGGAGAGAGTGAGTTTGACTGGTGGTGGAGATTGCGAACGAGCTTGGGACCCAGCTGCTCTTGGGCGGGCGGAGGCAACGGCGGAGGTCGGGGCAATAAACCCAACTCCACAAGCTCCTCTTTCTGCTATTACGTCCTCCAATTGTGCAACCTGCTCAAAGGAAAAGTCATCCAAACTATTAAATCCTATGCTTTTTTAAAGACAGAAGCATAAAAACACTAAAGGTGATAAAATGACAAAATTGATCGTTCACAGAAGAATTCCCGGACAGGTATTGATGCTTCATTTTGGACCACTCCTGACGTATCTAATTTAACAGAATATTTGAAGTAACATGAATCCAGACTCGTGAATCTGCCAAAAGTGTAAGAAACCAAGAAACGAAGCATCAATATCCTTTGGGATGGTCTTCTGAATGATGTTATATTCCGGCGCAGCAAGCCAGTCCGTCTCTGGATTGACCTCCCCAAGGACGAGCTAACTCGATAGGAAGGCTTCTAATTAGAGAAATTCACAGTAACCTTCAGCTATAGGAATTTTATAGGACCAAGGCATGAAAGATGTGGCGGAACAGATTGCAAATGCAGCATATGCTGAGGTCTTTCGGTGCTTTGTCCAATCCGACTCAAATTCCATACCAGAACCTCTGCTTTTAGAGAATTCTGTTCTTGCAGATTGAGGCAGAGTATTTTCCAGGCAGATTGATGTGCCACTAAGAGTTTAAGCCCACACTTAAAGGGATGCCCTGCAATTTATTCGGCAACCAGTAAAACCAACTCTTGTTAGTTACTAAATTAAACGAATTTTGTCAATGCAAATTGTTAGTACATTGGTTATAATATGTTCCTGTTAAATCGACTACCAACTATCTGGATACTGTTCACATCTTTGGTTTGCACGTAAGCTGAATTTGAAAATGTCGACCCCTCTGCCCCCATGAGTTCTTTCAGTCCTTGCGCATTATAAACAGAACACAATCCAGCCATAGAGATTCAAAAGTGTTTTCGATATTTCTTCAATGCTAAAGCTTGGCTAAATAAGAGTACTCGAGTCTTAATCACCAAACTCTTTCCGGACAACCCCCAACAACCCCCAAAAGAGAAAAAAACAGCAAGAATTTGATGGAACCATCGAAGTACGAAGGACGCGCCACCTGCATGTAGCTCAACCCGCATATCTCTTCGAAGCAAAAACAAACAGTGGCAGGATTAGGAAGTCAAGAATATTCAAACAGCACAAGCAATCACACGAAGCACATATTCGAAGCAAAAGCAAACGATGGCAGGACTAGGAATTCAACAACATTGAAACAGCAAAAGTAATTACACGAAGAATATGCTCTGAAGCGGCAAAAAACGAAGTTGTAACGAGAGAAAAGCACGAAAGATGATGAAGGGTCGTTACCTCCTCCAATGGAAAAACCCGCGGGCTTGGTTTAGAGGCACGATGCGCTTAGAAAGAAAATGCACGGCCTGCCCACTATTCAGCGAACATTCAGAAGGCGTGAACTCATGAAACCTCAATGAGTTTGGAAATTGAACTCTTGTGGGTTGGCGTCTGAGGCTAGGGCGTCGGCGTCGGGCTTCGTCGGAGGTGTCGTCGGCATCGGCGTCGGCGTCTAGGGCGTCGCTCGTCGAAGGCTAGGGGTCGGCGTTGACGCGAGGAGACGGACCTCGCTCGTCGGAGGCAGCGGACCTCGCTCGTCGTAGGCGTCGTCGGCGTCGGCGTCGGGCTTCGTCGGAGGCGTCTTCGGCATGGGCGTTGGGGGCTAGGGCGGAGGCGGAGGCTAGGGCGTCGCTCGTCGGAGGCAGCGTCGGCGTCGGCGCGAGGAGACAGACCTCGCTCGTCGGAGGTAGCGGACCTCGCTCGTGGGAGGTGACGGACGTCGCTCGTGGGCAACGGCGAACCTCGCTCGTCGGAGGTGTCAGAGGCTAGGGCGGAGGCGGAGGTTAGGGCGTCACTCGCCGGAGGCGGCCAGGGCGTTGGCGCGAGGAGACAGACCTCGCTCGCCGGAGGTAGCGGACCTCGCTTGTGGGAGGCGACGGACGTCGCTCATGGGCAACGGCGAACCTCGCTCGTCGGAGGTGTCAGAGGCTAGGGCGGAGGCGGAGGCTAGGGCGTCACTCGCCGGAGGCGGCTAGGGCGTCGGCGCGAGGAGACAGACCTCGCTCATCGGAGGCAGCGGACCTCGCTCGTGGGAGGCAACGGCTCGTGGGAGGCGACGGACGTCGCTCGTGGGCAGCAGCAGACCTTGCTCGTCGGAGGCGTCGGCATCGGAGGCTAAGGCGGAGGCGGAGGCTAGGGCGTCGCTCGTCGGAGGCGGCGTCGGCGTGGGCGCGGCGTGAGGGAGACAGAGCGCAGGGATAGAGATTGGGAGCGCGAAAGAGAGAGAGAGACTGGAGAGAGAGGGCGCTTGATTTTATTCAAAAATTTTCTCTCTCCAGATCTCTCAGCTCTGTGCTGTGCCGTGGGAGGGGAGAAAATATTGGGTGAGGGAGACGGAGCGCAGAGCAGAGAGCAGATGGGGAGCGCGAAAGAGAGAGAGAGAGGGTGTGGAGAGCAGATGGGGAGCGCGAAAGAGAGAGAGGGAGTGTGGAGAGAGAGGGCTGCTTTTAAAAAAAATTTCTCCCAGCTTCAGCTCAGCTCAGCTCAGTGCCGTGGGAGAGCCTTCCTGACATGTGGATCGTCTCGGACACGTGTCGCCACGCCGGAGTTGTTTTTTCTCCACGGTGGAATCCCTAGTGGCACCCAATATTTTCTCCGCCTCATGCACGTGTGTTTCTTGGGAACCACGTTTTATTTATTGCACGTTTAAACATGGCTCCGTGGGATAACAATCCTGTGGCCACGAAAAAATGTTTCAAAAGAGGAATCTATGAACCACCAGTTTGCTTGGAAGCCTGTAATTACGATAGGGTGTATAACAACGTTGTCTATAGATCTATCTCCAGAAGGAGTACTTTTTAAGTGACTACCGATTTGAAAAACTTAACTATTTCAAATTTGGGAGAGCTACATAGGGGAGGAGAGAAATGTGTTGATTATATATCAATGTCATGCTTGAAGAGCGGCACAAAGGTGCTTGTGTTGGAAAGTACCTTGTTCCACATAAATTAAATGGGAGTGTGTTGGCAAATATATAATTGTGAAAGTCTTCTTTTCTTACAAATAAAGACAATAGCTAAATGAACTAGACCCTACTATACCCGCGTGCGGGCGTGCGAATAGTTGCGCGATTTTGGTGAGTGTAGAACAAATTTGGCACTAATCAACGATTATTATTTTTTATTTATTAAAATTCGGATTTATAATTATAAAATAACATTTGTGTCCTATTGAAACAGAGCAAATGTTCGCAATAGAGTTACAATTATTTTGTTTATTATTTAATTCCGAATTTATTATTTCTATCGAACAATTATTAGGTGCTCTTACAACCTTTAAAAGGTTGTATCCGTTCAAACATATTTTTCGCTATTAATTACTCAACATTTTTGCTTAATAGAACAACTTTCATTTTTGTTTCTTTCAAAAGATATATGACCACTGTTTTCTATTGTTTCCCTTTGAGAGTTCTTGGAAAAATACCAGAATTACTATTGGGTATTCTAGCTTGAGACTTGTGTCATGGAGGAATTTGCTAGTAACCGTTAGCAACGTTTTGGGGAAAATAATTCCTTAAAGAGTGTGTTATGACAAAAAAAAAGTCTGCTTTCGTTCGTCTTCTTGATTACTTGATTTTTCCCCAACAACGTCAAGATGTCATTAATAGATGAAACTCTACATATCTAATGCTTGAAAGTATGGTTGTCTTTCAACGTGCATTTTCCCAATTAACATATCTACTCAGGCAATAGTCTTCCAAGCACTAGGAGAAATAATAGGAGATTTTGTAGTAGCTTGATTTGTGAAACTATTTAGAAATTTCTTATATGCTGATTTTATTTCATGTTTAATTGTTTTTTTATTTCATTAGTTCTTTTTCAATATACTATTATTTTTTGTATTTAAGGGAAAATTGCTAAAAATTGGAGCCCGAGTTGGGTTGAGTACGGGTCAGGTCAAGTTGGGTCGAATATAGATTGCTAAGATTGTATTACATAAAAATAGATCGACATGGATTAATTAGATCAATTTGGATTGCTTCCATTTTTGACCTAACCAAATCCGACCGGACTCCCTCTCTTTGACCGGTGTATTCAGAACTACTAAAAAATCTCTAAGAAAAAGATTTGCAACCTCTAGGTCGGGTGAAAATTGGACTTTGACTATTAGCTTTGACACACTCGCTCACCAAACATTAGAAATTGATCTAGACCACTCCCTTTATCTTTTCTCGAAGATACGCTTTGAGAGGAAGCAAAAGAGAATGATGCATGTTAAATCGAAATTATCCGGTTAATTTAAGTCGTAGGCAGACATAGAGGGGTGCTTGGATATCTCTATTTTCTTGGCATTGAATGAATTGTGAGGGAAGCAATCAAAAACCTGCCAGCGCTTGCTGTGAAAATGAGAAAGAAGAAAGGAAGTGTTGACACAAAAAAAAAAAAATGGACCAACTCTAGATTGGTATCAACGAGTGGCATGCTCAGTCGATAATTAAAAGCAGAAGTCATCAATAAAAAAAAAAACAAACGGAGACCGATTAGGCTCAACGTTAGTGAAGGAAATCGATAACATCATTTATAAAGTCATCACAATATGTAGTGCAAAAATTATCAACGAGAGGCTTCACCAGTCAACAACTTAAAGGAAATTGATTGACAAAATCATCGACCACAGACAATCTCAGATTTTTGGCTAAGTGTTGAGGAAATGATATTAATGAATAAACTAGAGGTTTGCTAATACAACAGTTGAATATGAAGAAAGGTGATTGACTCAAACACATGATTGCCATATGATTATGCATACAATCTAGGGATTTGCATGTTTTTGTGTATAATCATGTCTAGAATCTCAGAGAATGTAAATGTAGATCGTGCTAGGAAGTTTGTATAGATTCAAAATCCAAGAACTGCTTGTAAATAACTGCTACAGTGTATTATAAGAGCTCATGTAGTAATCTAACTGCACATAATCAATCAATCTTTGTTTTTTTTTGGTCAGCACCCATAATCAATCAATTTGAACATCTGTTTTTGCTTTTACTTTCGTCTTTAACTATCCTGCAAATTTACCTTCGCAATACCTTTAACTTTCCGGTACCTTTTTTTTTCTTGCAACTTCTGAAGTTCAGTACTCGCAATTTAAATACCTTTAGTTCCATTTACATTCCTTTCCAAAATAAACAAATGACCATTTTTTAATCTTTGTCAATTCAATTCGAATCATCCTGATGCAGCCTGGTGTAGGCTACTCGAACGTTAGGATCGGGAGAGTGACTTGCACACGTGGAACAGGACGAACAGTAATTACAGTCCTGCGCAAGCTCGGGAAAATGGATGTAACTTCGTCGATACAGATCGGAATGACCTGATTCCAAAGCCAAATGAACAAAGACTTCTGGATTGACAATTTCTCTGTTTTGAGTTTTCTCAAATAAGCACTATAGGAAGGACGAAATCGGGGTAGAAGTGGACGGATGTAAATAGACAGAACAGAGGAAAAGATAGAACTTCGTTGGTTGCTCTTCCAGGCCTCCAAGGAAGTGGATAGGGCACCGATTCTTCTAGATCGATGACTGCAACTCTTCAAGGATGCAGATTTGAAAACCTCCGACTCTTCAAGGACGGAGTGAAAACTCTTCTAGGTTTTCAGGGGTATGAACTCTTCAAGGTTCAAGATAATTGCTTGATGCAAAAATTTCATTAATCAAATTCGTCTGTCGAATACATAAAGTAGATGGTCTTTTATAGCCAAAGAAAAACAAATGAAAAGACTCAAGCAAATGAAGAGACTAAATAACATTAAAGACCCTAGAAAGCATAAAACATTAAAGAACTTAGAAACTATAAACTAGATAAATGCCCAACGTCTTCTTGATCATCCCAAAGTATCTTTTAGGCTTCCAATGTATAGGGAAAGACAAGGACTTTATTGTGGCATGGACTCGCGGATGAGACTCTTGGTCTTCGAATTGCGTCCCTTCGATATCTTCAAGACTGGTCAAGCGACTTGTCGAGCTCGGATGCGGGCTGATCTCCTTGGTCGAGTGAGCTCGTCTTCGATGCGGGCAGCATTATCAATCTGGCCTGCATCATCCTCCCCTTCTTTAAAAGAATTTGTCCCCGAATTCATGTCATCATCAGAGGAATCACCAGCATAAGGTGTTAAATGCCGAACGTTGAAAACATCATGTGTTTTCATATGAGAAGGAAGCCTTAAGCGATATGCATTGGGATTGATGCGCTCAAGAACTTCAAGAGGACCAAGCTTTCGATCACTAAGCTTGTTATAGCTTCCAACAGGATGATGCTCTGGTGGCAAGTAAGCCCAAACAAAATCTCCTGGTTCGAAGATAACTTCACGCCGCCGCTTATCGACGTCCTTTTTATAGGACTCTGTCTTGCTTTCTAACCTTTGGCGCACATCTTCATGAATTGCTCTCATCTGAGAAACAATATCTTCAACATTGCCACTCGACTTTTTAGCAAAAGGAATGGGTGCAAGATCAAGAGCAGTGTTCGGCTGTTGTCCATACACGATCATGAAAGGACTATACCCAGTCGTACGGTTTACAGCACAATTATATGCAAATTCGCCATGTGACAATCGTGTCTCCCAAGAGCGAGGATCAATCATTGTCCTCAATAGAATTCCCAAGGTTCGATTGACGACTTCAGTTTGCCCATCAGTTTGGGGATGAAACACAGTACTATATTGCAGTTTAGTACCGACATTCTTCCACAATTGTCGCCAAAAATGACTGAGAAACTTTGTGTCCCGATCAGAAGAAGCAACTTCACCTGCTTTGTGAAGTAAAACATATACAATACGAACCCCTTTTAAAGCACCTTTTATATCCTTCATCGAAAGCAATGAAGACTTTTCGACAACAGAAGTTTTTAAAGGCTCCTTAGTAGGTGCTAATATAATCTTCTTCCCTCCA